GCCGCCACCACGCTCTTGCCCTGTCGAAAAAAAGATCAACCCCACCCCATGTGCACACAGGGTGCAATCGCAGCAAATGTATTACATCTCCCATGCATAGACCAGTCCGCGGGTTTTTCTGATCGATGATGCACGTGTATTGCTCCAGTGAAAAGGACACGCCGCTCCGCTGCTCGAAACCAACAATTGTGCGCCCAGCGGCGCTGCAGCATATGCAGTATGCCGCCATGAGCATTGCAAGCAGGTATGAAAGATTGCCATATCCAGCGCATGGCATTCTCCGGTAAATGAACCGGAGCGACTCCAGAACACCCAATGCATTGTGCAGTGCAGAAGGCAAAGTCATGCAATTCAAGTACGCGATCTGGCGGGCGGCCTGGCTATCGCCAGGAGTCGCCCTGCTGGTCTCTCGATCGCATAGCTCCTACGGGGAATCCTTTGCACATCCCCCCGCGGATACGGGCGTCAACGCTCCAGTGAGAATCAGGCACGTCAACAGGCATGCGGATCCCCAACAATATGTCGTTGCTTGACCGTTGAGGCTCTGACCAAAATGGCACGCTGAGCCTCAGCCCAAATGGCTACGGATGCGTTTCGCCGAATCTAGCCCGAGATTGATTGGACCACCTCAGGTCGAGACATCTGTGAACCCAGTTGCGAAGATGTTTTACGCAAAACTGATTACACCACTTCGTGCGCGGCATCTCTGAGCCCAAAGCTTGGAGAATGCCTCAGGCGAGACTGGGTGGACCACCTCAGGCCGAGGCATCTCTGACCCCAGAGTTGCGAGGATGTCTCAGGCGAAGCTGGCCGGACCATTTCACGCGCGGCATCTCTGAGCCCAAAGTTGGGAGGATGTCTCAGACGAGACTTGGTGGACCACCTCAGGTCCAGGCATCTTTGAACCCTAAGTTGCGAAGATGTCTCAGGCGAGATTGGCTGGAACGCTTCGTGCGCGGCATCTCTGAGCCCAAAGTTCGGAGCATGTCTCAGGCGAGACTGGCCGGGCCACCGCAGGTGAAGTCATCAATGCGTCCAGAATTGCGAGGATGTCTCAGGCGAAAATGGCTGGGGCGCTTCGCGCGGGGCATCTGTGAGGCCAGAGATGGGGGATGTACCAAGCGATAAGTGGCAGGACCAACTCAGGGCGAAACATCTCAGAACACAGGGTTGCGAGGACGTCTTAGGCGAGACTGGCTGGATCACCACGTGCGCCGCCCCTCCGAAACCAAAGTGAGTAAGATGTGTCCGGCGGGCCTGGCCAGACCACCACGGGTAAGGGGATCTCTGATCCTACGGTCGACATGGCAACAATAAACATGGATCAAGAACACAAGCCCCTTCGCCGAAGGCTGGGGGGGCCCCATGAAAATGCTAGAATGGAAGAGCAGCCCAATCAAGGGGACCACATGGCGAAGAACAGGAGGGCACCCCTCCGAAATCATGGCGGTTCTTTACCCTCATGCCAGACCACCTCTTGCGCGGCATGTCGGAGCCAAAAATCGCCAGAGCGAGTGGTTCCGCGCGGCACCGTCGAGGCAACAACCGTCAGCGTCGCCGCCGGCGTCATCTTTGTCGTCATTGTCGTCGTCGCCGCCGCCGCCGCCGCCGTCGTCGTCGTCGTCGTCCGTATTCTCCTCCTCCTGGTCCTCCTCGTCCTCCTCCTCCTCCTTTCTCCTCCTTTTCCTCCTCCCCCTACTCCCCTCCCCGCCTGGCATGCCCCCTCCCCCGCCTCGCCCCCTCCTCCTCTTCCGCCTCCACCTTCTCCTCCTCCTCCTCCTCCTCCTCCTCCTCCTCCTCCTCCTCCGCCTCCTCCCCCTCCTCATCCTGCCTCTCTCTCTGCCAGCCGAGCCGGGCTGCCCGGCCGAACCGGGGGCGAAGGACGGGACGAAACGAAGAAGGGAGGAGAAGAGAGAGATGACGAGGGGGGCGAGCAACGAGGCAGGGGCAGCGGCAACACGGATAGGGGAGGAGACGGGGAAACAACGAGTACCCAGCCCAAATCCGCTACCGTGCCTCGAGACACGATGTGGACTGTCCTCATGTCCTCATCGATTGTCTTTCCACGGATATGAACACTACTTAAAAAAAGGCCCACATCTCGGAGTTCCAAGCGATGCCGGGATTGCTCGCGTAACCTCTAGACCCCAAAACACACGATTTCGCCTGAGACATCATCGAACAATCTGGCCCCGAGGGTGGTACCAGAGTTTGGCTGCCGAGTTCAACGATTCGTAAACTACGCCAAGTCCGCGCCCCCGAAGCCACGACCCCTTCATAAATTACACCAGATCCGCGCCCCGATGCAACGATCCCTCGTAAATTACGCCACGTTCGCGTCATCGCCGTTGTCGTCGTCGTCGTTTCGGACACCGGTCGCGAAAGAAGCCCCCAGAGCCCTTCCAAGGGGCCCAAAAGTGGCCCCACGAGGGCCCAGATCAACCCCAAGAGGGCCGCAAGAAAGCCCCAAGAGGCCCCCAAGAGAGCCCCAAAAGGACCCGAAGAGGCACCCAAGAGGCCCGAAGAGGGCTCCGTGCCACCGACGAGATTGCGTCCCGTAAGATTATAACTTACGGGAGACAAATCCTCTAGACTTTCTACAATTTTAACGCGCGGGGAACCCCCCCAGACCCCCCCGATGGGGGCTCTCTTGGGGCCCTCGTGGGGCCCTTTCCGGCCTCCTGGGAAATCTCTGGAGCCCCAGAGGGTGCATGCATCAACGCACCTACGATAATAATGTACATGCACTATGGCAGAGTGCACATACCGACGGTGAAGAGAATGATGATGATTGGGATGACGTCACAGGACGTCGGGCACGCACGGCGATGATGACATGTCTTCTGTTGGCGTTCAACAACCTATGCTTCGATGACCGCGAACTGCTGCGTTCAAGAGTATACGCATCAGCGTTGAAACGCTCGGCGTGTCAGCGCCTGCACGAGCCAACAGCGAAGCAGAGAAAGACGGCGATGAAACCATGAAGTACATCACGCGAATCGTGTCTGAGGCCCGTCTAAGCGCGAAGGCCCGCGACCTTCATCTGTACGCGCACAAGCAGTGCACAGCAGCGCGAATAATGATGGGCAAAAACAGATACGCGTCCAACTGGTGGTCATCTGAGAAGTGTTGACATGGCCTGCCACGGGCCCATGCCTCTTGTCCAGTATTCGCACTGTGCTGACTTGACTGCCACCGCAAAGGCGCGCGACCCTGGCTTCATACATTGATTTTTGTGGATGCAGGCCTTCGAGAATCTCCAGCAACTACCAATTGCTTGAGTTCCCGACTTGCGCCAAAATCTTTTGCCATCGACGCTATGCTGCACTGTATCTACGCATTTTGGCTTTGTCCAAAAGTGACGCCCAGTCTTCTTGTTGAACACTCTTTTTCTCTTGTGTTCGACCTGGTCCCGCACAGTTCCTGGGATATTGGTTTCGCGGTAGGCTCTTGCTGAGTCAGCGCGTATAACAACACAGCGATTCTGCTAAGGTTTCTTGGCGATGGCTTTCCACTGATCCTTTGTTATCGGCCCTGGGCCCGGCGATCTCGCAAGGGTGGGCGGGTTCTTCGAGCGAATGAGCATCAGAGCTCCTGGGTGGCCTCGACGCAGAATACCAATCCAGGTTTCACAAGCAAGCGCCTTCTCAGACGCGCTGCGCGAAGGGCGAAGTAGCATCTTGCCGAAAGAGGCTTCGTCAACTTCGATGTCGTGCCACTTCTCTGCTTTTCTCGCTGCCATATGTCATGACCTTCTCCTTTCGCTGCACGTAAAGCTTGCGGGCATTCTGTCGTAGGCCGTGCGCGTGAATTACGGGCCCACGCGCATGCCCCGTCAAATGGACGGCGCTCGTCACGGAGTTCGTCGTGGACAGACATAATCAGTTCATGAGCTGCTGGTGGAGAGGTGCCGAACGTCGCCCATGATGCAGTAGCGGACATTGCCCCCATGGAAACTCACGATGTTGACACTTATAAAAACGAGCAACGGTGGAATGGCTTGTTCCAGTCAGATCGAAACTGCTTGGCGCCCAGAAATCCCCCCCTACAAACAGGACAGCGCTCTCCATGCAAGTCTTTGGCGAAACCCAGCTTGAGCATAAAATCCCAGATCTCTGCCTCTGTCATGCGAGCCAAGTCGACTAAACTTTTGCTTATTTTGCGATCTCGTGGATCTCCTCTGATCTCTGATGCCGTCGACTGCGCGTAGGTGGCGCACGCGCGGGCACTCTGCCGCGAGCGGGCCTGCGCCGCTGGCTTTCTGGCAAGCCTCAGAGTCTTCATGACGCTGCGGCCATTGCGAACTCTGCCGCGTTGCGGCGCAAATGTCCCCATATTTCACACCGCGGGCATTTGTTCTTGAGCCGGAACGCCGAGAAAACCCCTCCGCGCCATCCCTGGCAGCGATGCCCGAGCAAGCCAGCGAACGTAAACCCCGGCGACGACTGCAACGTGTTCTCCTGCATCCTCGCTTCCAGGCAGTCGAAGTCAGCTGGGGCCGCCAGCGCAGGGCGCGCGCACCGCGCGCTGCACAGGAGCGGAGGCGCCCGCGCCCAAAAAGCGCCCGCGCTGAAACGGCCCTGGGCGCGCCGCCCCTGCTCAACAGTGACCCATGGTACGCGCAACGCCGCTGCCGCAACAATCGGGCCCATAACAGATTGCACATCGTCGCAGCGGAGAGCGCAGCGAAGTGTTTCAATGAAGTGCTCCGCGCCCCGTTCAGCGGGCATTCTCCCCGCGCAAAACTGCATGGCCGAATTATTACGCCTTCCACCGAGCCACCGAGCCTTCGCCGGCGAAGGCGGGCAGGCCGCGCCGACGCACTCCCGCCCCAAGCATTCGCTCGACGCCCTGCGCGCGCGCCGCGAGCCGGCGCAGCATCGGCAACTGGCATCTGCGGAGCAGCGGCGCCAACCCTGCACGCGACGCCTGGACTGCTGCATCCGCGAGGCAGGCGATAGCGCGAGAAAATCTCGCGGTCACACGATGAGGCAGACCACCTGGTACCACTCACAACTCTCCGAGGGCGCGCCGCCGGGCAGCAGGTGCCAGGCGGAATGGCCCACGCTGATCTGCTCTCGCAGGCCGTCGAAGAAATGCACGCGGCCTTTCTCTACAATGCCGCCGACGGCGTGCCCTGGGCGCCCGGGCGCGGCATCGCAAACGACGACGTAGCGCGCAGTCTGCGAGCCCCTGGCCGACCAGGGTCGCGAGCGGAGAAACGACAGACCGAAGAGGCTGATCATAGCCTCTGCCTCACCCAGAGCGTAGGGGCCCGCGCGATCGCAGGGCACGGGAACGCCAACGGCGTTGAGAGCATCCAGGAGGCAGCAGTTCGGGCATTGCAGAACATTCTCGGGGCGGACCTGCATCGACAGGGCGGAGCCGAGTGGTCTGTCGCACAGGCGAGCCCCCTGCGGCAGGCGGGCGGGCGGCTCGCTCTTGGCCCCGCTCTCGCCCCCGCTTGAGAGGAGGTCGATCACGGCGCCGCTGGCGCTGGCTGCGGCGGGCGCCGCAGCGGTGCTGCTGGGCCCCCTCTTCGGCATCGCGACCGCGCCCGACGCGGACCTGGCGCCGCCGGCGCTGCCCGGTGCATGCCCCGCAGCGGCGCTGCTGGGCCCCCTCTTCGGCCTCGGGCCCCCAGGTGCGTCGGCCGGATCCATCTCCACGCGCTCACGCTTCGCGGGTAGAGGGCATCGGAACGCGCGGCACGACACACCTGCCGAGGCCAGCGACCCCGCGGCAGGCAGGCGGAAGCGATACTGGCCGTCAGCATCCGCCCGCACCCGCACGCCGCCGGAGTCGGACGCCGGCGTGCCAGCAGTCTCGGGAACGCAGTGAATCGAGGGCGCGGCTGGCGCGGCGCTGGCGGACGATAGAAGGTCGGCCGTGCGGTTCGCCAACCACGAGGCGATTTCCTCGGAGGTCTTCTTCATGGCCCATGCCCTGGTAGAAGCCGGCCAGGACGCCCTTGTTGCCAGGCAACAAGAAGTCCGACGCATCGTCGCCCTGGGTGAACTTAAAGATTTGGGCAGCGTCGTCGGAGCTTGGCGCTCGCACATACAGGGCAGGCCTGCCGACGACGACCGGCACGAACCGCTCGGCGAGGGCAAGCCCGCGCGATTGGCCCAGGTAGCCGAAGAGGTTCTCGAGCATCTTCATGAAGAGCTGCGGGTCGACGAAGAATCCAGCCGATGGAAGCGGCTCAGCATCCTCCGACCAACTGTTGCTGAGAACCGCGTGGAATTGACCTTTTGCCCACTTCGGGGGGGGTGCCGCGCGTCAGAATGACCGGCTGCGTGGAATGTGCCGAAAGCCTCCAGGTCCTCGACGTCAATGCGGTCCAGAGAGGGATCGTCGAGCAGGATGCCTTCGTACACAGGAGTCGCCATGTCCAGGAAGACATCCATCTGTTTGCCGCGCCGGAAGCCAGGCATTTTGTCGATGCCCTTGCTCCGCGTCACGCACCGACCCCAGGCCAAGGCTGCGATCTGGCACAGGGGGGCCTCCCCCACCCTGGGAGCACCAAGGACCATGGTCCCCGAGAGCGGGGCGAAGGCGTATATCAATGGCAGCAGCATGTCCTGGATGACAGGGGTGCAGGTCGTACGACGTCAGCGGGAAGAAGGTGTCTACGTTGGCCGATGCAGATGCCTTGTCCATGCTCACCAACGCCTTCTCGATCTGGCTAGTCGGCCACCCAGAGCAAGCGCTCGACCGGACCTTAGTCTGCAGCAGCACCCACTCCTTAGCTTCGATCGCACTCGAACCGACAATCTCATGGTAGTGCTCGCGGATGTATGCGAAGCCGTCGCGGATCTCTTCTGGTGTGGGGCCCCACCCCTTCCCTTGCTGCTCTTCGGGGTGCTCCTTGCGAGTCACGCTGAAATGGCGAACGTGGAAGCCAGGCAGGCGGTCGAGCATCGCGTTGAAGTTCCTCCGCTGGCCCCACGTGTTGTTTTCCTCGGCCGCAGGACACGTGGCCGACTGGCCCAAGGTGCACAGGTGCGCGTCCGCACGCTTCAGGTTGCTACCGCGTTTGCAGATGAAGTGGCGCAGCACGTTGTACCGCCCCACGCTGGCTCGCTGGACAACGAACTGCGCCTTCACACTCGCAAGCGCTCCCTGAGGAATCTTCAGCACGTCCGGCAAGCCCGCCATTGCCTGTGGCCCACCACTCTCAATGGCCGTCTTGACCGCCTCTTCGTCGATGTTGCCCGACCACGACATCACCACGTCGAGCAGGTTCTGCATGTGGGCGACGTGGTCGACTGGGCGGAACAGGAAATCCTCCATCTCGAGCGCGACGGCAACGTCTTCAGGGTTCACCCTCCTGCCTTGGTTGTCTAGGCCGACCTCCGGGAGCATTTGTCGATAGCAGACGCCACCTCTCTCGGGTGGTAAGATCGCGAAAGATCGAAGACCCGATCGAGCAGGATTCGAGGAACAAGTGGGACTGAGGAGACAACGCGCTCAGAGAACGACCGGGATCGCACTCGGAAGCGCTAGGAACGATCAGCTCCGCGATCTGCCAAAATCCGATACACGTTGTCAGCTCAGGCGCGAGCATTGGGCGGCCGTCAAGGTGACGAGGCGAGACTCACCATCATCTGGACGGCGCAGCTCAGCCAGGCGTTCGTCCAGAGACAAGGCATGGTGGTCGTGTGGGTCTCGACTCTGATCGACTGTTCGTGTGAGCAAGCGTGGCGGGGAAACGCACGTGAGCTGAGTAATGGGAACAAAATGCGAATCCCATCTCTGACGGACATTAATTGGAATCGTCCTTCGGGCCGTTTCCCATCGATCGGTGATCCTTCAGTGCCCCATCTCCGGTCGACCGGAGACCGGAGACCAGAGATCTCTCCAGGACTCATCTCCGGTCGACCGGAGACCGGAGATCCCTCCAGAAATCATCTCCGGTCGACCGGAGACCGGAGACCGGAAATCCCTCCAAGACTCATCTCCGGTCGACCGGAGACCGGAAATCCCTCCAGAAATCATCTCCGGTCGACCGGAGACCGGAGACCGGAAATCCCTCCAGGACTCATCTCCGGTCGACCGGAGACCGGAAATCCCTCCAAAAAATCATCTCCGGTCGACCAAAGACCGGAGACCAGAGATTCCTCCAGGACTCATCTCCGGTCGGGATCCCGTCTCTGGTCTCCGGTCGACCCGAGACCGGAGATCCCGGTCGACCGGAGACCATATATGATCTCCGGTCGACCGGAGACCGGAGACCGGAGATCGGACTCATCCAGGACTCACCGGAGACCTCTCCGGTCGACCAGAGATCCGGTCCACCAGAGATGAGTCCATGGAGAGATCGCTGGTCCTCGGTCTCCGGTCGACTGGAGATGAGTTTTGGAGGGATCTCCGGTCTCCTAAATAGCGGCCTGACGAAACTGCGATGCTACAAGGTATGTCCCAAGAGGTCTGGAGGCGTTTGAAGTCCAACGGTTGATGACCTCCTATCGGTATCGCCCGATAGGGTGCCGCCACCCATATATATGTATATATATATATATACAAGTGGCACGTGTGGGCCCAGGCTCATACGACAAGCTGAAGGGGCGTTTGAAGCAGGAGTGACATGCAACAGCGAAGTCGCACTCGAGCGCAAGTGGGGTTGCCACACCTTGCGATGTGTGTACCAGGGCCCCCCAGGAAGCCTCAGGAGGCCCGACTTGGATACCAGAAGAGGCTCCAGGAGGCCCCAGGATTGTGAGTGTTGTGTGTGTGATGTGTGCTTTGTGTGGTGCGTGCTTTTTGTGTGTTGTCGGTGTTGTGTGTGTATGTTATGTTTGTCTAGCGTGTGATGTGTTGGGCGTGATTTGTGTCTCTGTGTGTGCATGTAGTTCTGAAGCCCCAGGAGGCCCCAGGAGGCCCCAGGCGGCCTCAGCAGGCCCAGGAGAACTCCAGGAGGCTCCGAGGCGGGGTCTGGGGTACCAGAAGGTCCAGAAAGCCCCAGGAGGCCCCAGGAGGTTCCAGGAGGCCCCCAGGAGGCTCCGAGGAGGGGTCTGGGGCTCGATTTTGGAAGGATGTCTCAGGCGAAACCGCCATTCTCTGAGAATCGGGGTCAAAATTATTGAAATTACCATGTGTTTTTGAAGGTGTTATGTTAAAATGTTGAAATTCCCATGTGTTTTTGGACCCTGACGTCACGATCTGCGTGAGGGGTGCCACCGATTTTCAGAATTTCGAGGATGTCCCGAGCGAAACGGCCAGAAAAATCGCGGACGACGTGCGCATTAATCGCCTCTGAGCTCTACTCCCTCGGAGAGGTGCGTATGAGAATATTTTATATATATATATATATATATATACATACATACATACATACATACATACCTACCTACATACATACATACATACATACATACATACATGCATTCATACATGCATGCATGCATGCATGCATGCATGCATGCATGCATACATACATACATACATACATACGTAAATGCATGCATGCATGCATGCATACATACATACATGCATGTATGCATGCATGCATGCACGCATACATACATACATAGATGTATATACATACATACATACATACATACATACATACATACATACATCCATCCATCCATACATACATACATACAGACAGACAGACAGACAGACAGACAGACATTCATACATTCATACATACATACATACATACATGCATGCATGCATGCATACATATATACATACATACATACATACATACATACATACATACATACATACATACATACATACATGCATGCATGCATACATACATACATACATACATACATATATATATATAGATAGATAGATAGATAGATGTATACCTACCCACCTACCTACCTATCTACCTACAGACTTACCTACATACATACATACATACATACATACATACATACATACATAAATGCATACATACATACATACATGCATACATACATACATACATACATACATACATACATACATACATACATACATACATACATACATATGCATACACAGATGTACATATACATATCAGAGAGAGCGTGATCCACCACAGCTTTACTGTGGAAACTTTCCCCCCCTCTTCCTCCGGAACCTGGGAGTCCCCCCCCCCTCCGAAAATCTCCCGCGCCCTGCTGGAGCCCCCCCTTTCCCTCCGGCAAACACTCCCCCTCCCCTAACCCCCCCCCTCCCCTTCAGAAAACCGGGGGGGTCACTACCGTTTCGAAGCCCCCCTCCCCCCTCCGGAAAAGCAGGGGGGGGGTCACTACTGGTTCGAACCCCTCCCCCCCCAAAAAAAAATCCAGAGAGGGGTCACTACCGGTTCGACCCCCCCCCCCCTTCGAAAACCGGGGGGGGTCACTACCGGTTCGAAACCCCCCCCTCCCTCCCCCTCTCGAAAACCAGGCGGGATCACTTCCGGTTCGAATACCCCCCCCCTCGAAAACCGGGGGGGTCACTACCGGTTCGAACCCCTCCCCCCCCACGCTCACCGCCAGCACACAACTCTGGGTCCCTACCACCGTCCGCACCACATCCCCCACTGCTGTCCCCAGCACCACTGTCCTCACAACCACTGCCCCCACTTTTCCTTTACAGTCACCACTGTCCTCACCAGTGCCCCCACCACTGTCGCACTGTCCCCACTGTCACCACCACTGTTCCCACCATGGTTTCACTCTCCCTACTTTCTCCACGGCCCCAACCACTGTCCCACTGTCCCCGCCACTGTCCCACTGTTCGACTCTCCCCGCCACGTTCCCACTGAGCTGTCCCACTGTTCCCACCACTGTCCCCACTGTCCCCACCAGTGTCGATACTGTACCTCTGTCCCATTATCCCACCGCCGTCCTCGCCAGCGCCTTCACCACTGTCGCCACCACCACAGTACCCTCCACTGTCCCACTGTTTCCACCACTGTCCCCACTGTCCCCACACCACTGTCCCAACCACCACTGTCCCCACCACTGTCCCACTATCCCTACTGTTCCCACCATTGTCCCCGCTGTCCCCACCAGTGCCCCCAACCAGTGTATCACTGTCCCCACTCTCCCCACCATTGTCTCACCACGGTCCCACTCTCCCCACTTTCCCCACGGTCCCCACCACTGCCCCACTGTCTCCACTGTTCCCACAACTGTCCCAGTGTCCCCGCCGCTGTCCCACTGTGCTGTCCCACCGTCCCCACTGTCCCTATCACTGTCCCACTGTCCTCACTGTCCCCACCACTCTCCCCACTGTACTTCTGTCCCACCACTGTCCTCACCACCGCCTTCACCACTGTCCCCACCACTACTGTCCCCACCATCCCACTGTCCCCACCACTGTCCCGCTGTCCCCTCACCACTGTCCCCACCACCACCGTCCCCACCACTGTCCGCACCACTGTCCCACTGTCCCCGCACCACTGTCCCCACCACCACCGTTCCCACCACTGTCCCAACATCCCCACCATTCTCCAACTGCCCCATCGTTTGCTGGCGGCGGGGGGGGGTTCGAACCAGTAGTGACCCCCCCCCCGGTTTTCGAGGGGGGGAAGGGTTCGAACCGGTTGTGACCCCCCCCGGTTTTCGAGGAGAGGGGGGGGTCGAACCGTTAGTGACCCCCTCCCCTTTTCATGATGGACTGGGAGGGGGGGGGGGGTCGAACCGGGAATGACCCCCCCCCCGGTTTTCGAGGGGGGGGGACGGGTTAGGAACTCCTAGTTACCCCCTCGGTTTTCCGCCAGCAGCAGTAGAACACGCTCTTGCACATATCCGCAAACCTAGATAAGTACACCTCCATATACATATGCATATACATCTACATCTACGTCTACGTCTGCATATACATATACATCTACATATATTCATACATACACATAAACATGTACAGAGGCAGTAGACATACACCTATACATACACATATACATATACGTATACAACTATTTGTATGTATACATAAACATATACATATATGCATGTGAATATACTGCATATACACATAAACATAAACATAAACATATGTACGTATATACATACATACATACATACATATATTTACATGTAGGTATGCGCATACATATACATATACAAAGACATCGGCATACACATATACATATGAACAAAGCTTACTTACACATACGTACACATAGACCTATGCAAAACCATAGACATAACAAAGCAGTTACATACTCGTGTACATATGTATATATATACATATAAATATGCATATACATATACATATACTCATAAATATACATATGCATCATCATACACCTGTAAATGTACATACACGCAGATGGTTACACATACATCCACATTTACATATACCTATATATACTTGTACACATACATATATAAGTACGCCTATGCATATGTGTATATATATGT